GTTGGGTCCACGTTGGACAGAGAAACATCCATGTCGTGGCAAACGACCTGGGAGGAAAGCTTTAGTACTATGCATGATCTAAATATTGTTGCAGTATATGTGTCGCCTTTTCAGTGCAGAAAAGGGAGATGAAAAGGGGAATGCCAAAAGGATCGAATGGCTTTAGTTCGACGTCATCGACCGGATGAGGACGCTTTCCTTGCGGATGCTCCTTGGTGTTCTGCATTTGTTGGATGCCGAGCAGGGTCAACACACTCCCTTGAGGCACCTGAACAAAAAGACACACCGACACATGTGGTTGAAGTTCGCTCCTGAAGTAATGCCAGCTACTCATGTCCCGCAGCAACACATAAAACGATTGTCTTCTACACTCAAACAGCCTGAATTCTCAAAGTGTGCCATCCACAAAGAGACACAAACAAACAACGGGAAAACCTTTTGAAAGGGCAACAACAGGACAGCCAACTCAACAGGAAAACAATGGAAAGCATTGGGTCTATCCTATTGCCTGTAACAGTGGATGATGATGGTTAGTAAAGGCCTTGTTCAAAAATAGTTGTTTACTCACAGCTACAGGTAATAGGACAAACCCTAGGCTACTAATTAAACATATGGACGAGCAGAGCACAACAGACAAAACACCCCAACTGTGTTTCTCCATCAAGACCTTCACTTTGAAGCGCCTAGCCGGACTGTGCCGGGACGGGTTGATCAAAAGATCAAACTCAATGGAATCATCACAATGGAACTCGGCAAAGCCAGAACCAACTTGGTAGTACATCGGCAAAGAGCTTCATGCACCGCGCAAAAATCGAAAGAACACGCAGTTGGTACTCAATAACGCATGAAAGCATCTGAACACCCACCCCAAACCCCCAAACCCGAGACGCATCACATCAAACTCAGGGCATCGGTGGGACGTGGGGGTGCACGAGCAAGGTGGGGCCCTCACATGGGGCGCTTCATATCTAACAGCACCTGAGCCCCGGAGTACACCCGACTTCAGCACTGAACACACCCGGTTGGACCCACCAAAGAGAACCACGGAAGAAAAGGCTGCGGAGCTGGAAGAAACGCGCTCGCGGTCGGAGCGCGTAAGTCCTACTTTCGGACCGCCGTTGACTGTAAACTGATTGGTGCGACTCGACTCGGACTCGTAGGGAATGAGGGAGCCGGAGAAGTCTAAGGGCTTTGTGATTCAAGTAAACTTGGGCTATGTGACGCAACTGGACTTTCCACCGAGCCGGTGGTACGGGTGGTAGAGCGCCCGGCGTTCTGGGTGCCCCGCAGTTTTCATAGCCAAAGCCTTCGACCCAACATTCTGCATTACCCAAAGGCAAGGCCTTAGGAGTTCAAAAAAGCAGCTAGGTTTGAGAGGCATCGAAAACAAGGAAGTCTTTGGAGTGTCCAGTTGACCATCCTTCTGTTCAGCGAAAGAGATGTACGGGGATGTCCCTCTGCCTCTGTCAAACGTCGCCAGATTACAATGAACATCAAACATGAATCAATGCATACTACCATGTCTCTACCCTCTAGCCATCCTTCAGTTGGTGCGAATAGTAAGTGGACTCTTCCATATCTTGAAACTACTTGGAACACATCTGTCAGCAGCTCCCTCCACCGGAGAACTAAGGCTAGGGCTTTAGTGCCTGGTGGCACACATTCCTCAGAGCCAACAACCCGACGCACGACGACCACATCCCCAGCTCGACCAGTGCACCAAAGGGTCAGAAAACCGTGGCCACGCGTGCCGCGTCCCAGCACTGCCGGAGCAAGCATCAAAACTGAGGAGAGAACCTGTCACGTCCCACCTTCATGTCGACCAAAAAAGTTAAGACAAAACTTCTGCCACGGTATTTCCACGGTTGTTCCACACAGTCTACAGCTCCATCATTGTCCGACACTCACAATCAATCCATCCAACCCTCACCCGTATAGCATGCTTTGCAAATACATCAAAAAATATATATTTATATATGGTGGTTGATCAATATTCTTTCATCCTGGAATGGCCATTCTTCGCGGAAAAAAATATCTTTCGCGGATCTTTCGCGGCCTCATCGCGAAGCATGGTCCTACAACCATGTCTAGCTAACATGAACCGGAACATGTCATAGGGACAGACATCTTGCAGCATGACCAGTTGAATGTTTCCACAGCTACTCAGGGTCACTTGCAGCATCTGTGGAGCAACTCAACCCAATCCTCGTGCCAGCTACCAACACAGGGTGATGCAGCTTGGGGAATGTTGGGGGGCCTCAAAGCTGGGGACCTGGACTTTAGCGGCACATTCGCGAAACTTTCGCGGATCTTTCGCGAAATTTCACTGGCGCTTTCCCGGGGAAGCCGTATGCAAACATCTGCACAGCCCGTCAGAGCAGCTGCAGGTCGTTGCCTCACTGTCAGGGCTGCGCCTACTCAGGTTGCTTGTCTATGACAGTGGGGACTGGAATCGGAGAATCCTTTACGCACTGCCAGGGCTGGGCACGGAAATATTGAGGCTTCAATTCGTTAGTCTGTGACATATGGGGACACTTCCGCCCACCAGCTCTGCCGGAAGATTGCCTTCTATTTCTATTCTTTGTTAGAAAGGAAAACGTATGAAAGCGATGACCTTCGATAAATCTTTCGCGGAAAAAAAAGATACTTTAGCGAACCTCATCGCGAATCTTTCGCGGATGGTTCTAACAACATCTGAAAGGCTGTTTTATATAAAACTCCTTACACGGGGTTTTCGATCAACTCCCATATATATGTACGATATATATAATATATATTATATATATATATATGCGTTCCACGCAAAAGGACCAACAGAGATTGAAGGACCCTATAGACTATCCCATAGGTACCCCAGGTGACGGGTCCTATTTCAGGTCACTTAACCTCAAGAAGTGAGATCCACGTGTTCACCCCTTTGGTTTTCACCGCCCGTGTTGCGTATATCGTGTTCTCTGAGTGGGGCGGACCCTGGAAGCGGAGATCCAACCTTCTCCCGCTTCGCGGCCACTATCTCCGGTCCTCACCGAAGCGGAGCGAATAGAGCGGATAGACAGAGCGGTCTCTGAGTCCTGGAATGGTGGTTTCTACGTGTTTCTGGTTCCGGTGGTGCTGTTGTTCGATTTGTTTTTTTATGTTTTGGGTTCAGTGCTTCCGGCCCAACCCGGAGAAGAATCTGTATAGAGCCTTGAGAAGTCCTCGTAGAGACGGCGGATTCTGAGTGGGTTTGATTTCACCCTATTTCACCCATTTTCACCCCATGTTTTCCACAAGAGCTTCGCTTTTCCCTGCAGGTGCTGCAACTCCTGGGTAGGTGACCAAGGATCTGTCCGTGCCCGAAGCAAATGGAAGGGTCTACAAAGACCCTCTACGACTCTACGTACTCTCTGACCCACTATAACTATAACATGGAAGTGCAGTGTTCGCAGATGTAACTTACTGGGCCATGCAACAATGACCGTTCTTGGTGTCTTTCCATGGTCTTCGCCTCAACAAAATCAATAAAGCAGCAGAATCTTGGACCTCTTGGGCAACGATGGAAAACGGTCGACGTGCGGTGCAGGCTGCACTGTCGCGGGGTTCTTGTGGCGGTATGAAGCTGCGCCTGAACCAGCACTTCTGCTCGCCTTCCTCGCTGCCCCACACCTCAATACGTCCCGGTCGGGCGAGCGACCTGAGGTTGACATGACCGTCGGAAGGACAGATCCATCTGGAGGCCAACAGGGAGCGATTCTTTTTCCTCCGGGCACCCAGATCAGACTGACGACTACGTTGACTACGTGTCACCGCCTCCCAAAAGGCGTCCAGCTTCTCCATGCCTTTTTTTCACAGAGTGACTCGTGGCAACACAAAAATCCAGCAAAAATCACATCCCCCAGTGGAATCAGCTCCTGAGGCTCAAATCCATTCCCATCCAACAACAGGTCCCCATAGTCGATCCACGACGTCTGTCGAGATCCCCGGCCCAGAACTCGCACTCGGGCAGCGAAAAGCAAACCTGTCGAAGCGAGCCCACCAGGGCCGCATGTACGAAGGTGTCATCAAGTGGTGTCATCAAGTGGTCATCCATCCATCCAGTGGTTTCACCAAACAACAAACAAGTGCCTAGAATATGCATGGTATACGTTGTTTGGCACATATATACGAAGCAAGTCCTGGGTCAAAGGGAACAGACCGTGTCTCAACATTTACGGCACAAGGGATCTGGCCGTGTCTGACATTTGTTCATGTCAGTTCATGTAGACATTCCGACTTTGTTCCCTACCTGGCCAACATATGCAGTAGGGGTTGCGGGTACACCTAGGCCACTTGCTTAAAGACAAACGCGTTTCCCGGACACCTAGGCCACACACCCTGCAAAATATCAGACTGTTTATCAGGTGAATTCCCATGCATTCCTGTTTGTGAGGTACAAGCGACAAAGCCTGGTTTCATGACAAGACAGAAACTTCCCTCTGCAGTCCTTCTGCTTCAAACTGAGAAGCTCTGACAGTCGGACGAAGGGGTGGCCACTGGACGCCTGACAACCTCTATCTAAGCACTTATTAATCCCTAGGGCTCCAAGTACCTTCTGAGAAGGTGGGACTGGGGTGGGTGCCAGGAGGGTCCAAACACCTTCTGAGGAGGTACTTGGAGCCCTAGGGAAGAAACAGCCCGGCAATTCGATGGTCCAAGGCCATGGCCCGACGTCGTCCCGGTCTGACGGCTCGTCCGATTGGGCATCGGTGGGGTTGAGGACCTGAAGCACAGCCAGGAGTCACAGTCATAGGACGGGCATCCCCAGGTGCCGAAAGAACCAACGGAGGATAAGGGTGCCCGACGGTCACCTCCACTTGCTGGAGACTGAACAAAAACATACTTGAAATAGCTCCCAGTGGATCCCAGGCAAACCACTATATAAGGAACCAGGGATTCGTTCGGTCTATGGTTTCAGTCGAACTGGAACCACTGGGACTCCCAGCGACATCGTGGTAACTGGATCCCCTGGGACTCCTTTGACTCCTTGGAGAAACTAATGGGATCGGCCTTGAAAGACCTGAACATCACACCGACACACGAGGAGCAGGACATCTCGCCATGCCAGCTCGTAGAAAGGAGTGAGTTCCTCGTCTTGGAGTCGACAAAGATCAGTGAAACCAGCAAGAGATCTCTTGAAGTAGAACATCACCAACAAAACCTTACAACCTACAGCCTTGGGGGAAAAGGCTCAAATTGAGAGCGACTCACCAGCATTTAACAAGAAGAGACTCAAAGGCCATTCACCACCTGGGGAAAGCTGTTCATCTAAGAGCATTGATGACGTGGTGACATGTTCATATCATTCTTCCTTGGCTTTGACCGCCGTGTATTCCAGTCAGGACCCCCAAATAAGAAACACTTATAAATAAACGCCTCCAACCTTGCTACGAAGCACCATCATTGAAATCTGATCCCCCCAAAAAAGAACACATCCCACCTCGTCCAAAACATGGGGCCTACCAACATCTCAGCTTGGAGAACCAAGAAAAATCCACCGGACCAGGCAGCACCGAAGCAGGCACGTCTCAGAGCTCATGACGGACGGAACGAGCAGTGTCTTCACCCGCCTTTGCGCACGACTCGATCTCACTGGCCACGAACCTGGCGCGTCTTTGGGGACACGAACCGTCTCCCGTTCTGGTTCCTCCGGTCTACCTGTCCCGGGCGGTTCCGCGGCGAGGTCTCTTTTTATGGCTCGAATGGGGTGCACCACCGATCCGGCTCAGTGAATAGCATGATACACTTCGAATTCATAACTTGGTGAATTGCTCCGGATTGGCCATGTACTTCGCTCCGCTCTTTGTTTGTTTGTTTGTTTTGTTTTCTTTGTTTCGCCTCAATTCCGGTGCGTTTCGGCGTGATTTCACGGCGTGCTGATCCGGGTCGGTCTCTCGCATCCGATGTCCCGGCATCGGACCAAGCAGCCGAAGACGGTTGAAGTGGGAGGAGTATCTTATACAACCCATTTGACTTCTGTTTTGAGAGGAAGTTGGACCATATTTAAGGTGGTTAGTGGGCCAAAAAAGAGGTCACGACCAGGTTCCAGGTATATTTTTTTTGCAACAGCAAACTAGAGTCATCGAATTCGTGCAAAAGCGATGTACGATCTGTGCGGTTGTATTGGTGTGATTGCTCGATGTGAGGGCTTGGAGGGTGTATCAGGTACGACGTCTCCCTGGTCGGACCTGTGACCTGTGCGACCTGGACATTTTCGGACCTGTGACCCTGTGCGACCTGGCCATGTGTCCCAAGGTTTCCAAGGTTTCGAATGTACATCGTCGTGGGGTCCAGGTACTTCATGGCTACTTGCATTGACCCCTGAAACCGCCGACGCAAAAGGTTGTGACGACCTCAAAAGAGGAAGGGAAAAGGACACCAAACAAACAAAAACATGAAAAGACACATCGAGGTAGAGCAGGAGCGGATTTGAATGACTCCCGTCTTTTGAGCTGTCGGCCACGTCAAGCCACAAAGTCTTTCAGAACTTCCATGGCTGTCGGGTCAAGTGTGACTTTTCACACCGTGCCTGCCTGGGAAAACAACACCCACTAAGTGCGAATCGCATGTCCGCCGGATCCTTCGGGTCGAGCCATCTGGGCGGCCGCACTTGTCGGAGCTCATGCAATCATCCAAAAAGCATCCGATGGTCGCGCCATAGCCCTGGTCACGCCAGCGGGGGGAATGACACTTCGCAGCCCAGCGATGCGACGTCGCAGCCCAGCCGATGCAGATCGATCATGGCAACCAAAAAGGGTATCAACGCAAGAGCTGAACAAAGAGGTCTGAAGACCCCTGAACAACACGTGTTATACCCTATATGCATGCGCATACTTTTGAGGTGGCAAGCCTCAGTGGGATTCAGTTAGATGATGGGAGGGTGTGTGCTATCAATCCTGCCAGGGACATCTTTCTTTGAGGGATATTAATCTACTAAGCTATGGCCTATGGCCAAAATAACATGGCAGAAAATCCCTCAACACCTGGATGGTGGTACTCCCACCTACTCCCATCCATAGCTGGAGTGGAAAAATGATCGTAACTCACCTGGCAAAGCATCTCAGGCTTGCCAGGAAGAGTTGTTGGTGATGTCACCATTAAACACATAAAATACTGATAATCTGAAACCGAAGCAACTGATACGCACTTGGACATTGGCTACCCATCAATGTCATGAATAAAAAGAGCTGCACCAGTTATACCAGCCTGCCGACCCTTTTATCCACCACCTAATTAGGGACCTTTCTTTTGATTCCTTCCCATCCCAGCAACAACACATGCCACAAGCTGCCAAACAAACAATCATCTCCTGCCCTGCCTGCAAGTTGGTAAAGAGCGCCTGCCCCGCATTTCGGATCACCGTGTTCTGCTCCTGAAAAAAGAAGCTTCGCATGACTCGGACCATGTTGGCTCCCCTCGTGGATGGCACACCGGAGAAGGTCCTGGAAACCTACCGGTTTCTGCCTGGAGCCTCCAGTTTGTACCCTAGACAATGGGACATGACCCTATCAAAACAGGTATACATACTGAACACTTGTCCCTCACTTACTTCGGAGTACCAAATCGACGGGAGTCCACCTACTCATGCCCAAGAAGATCAAGCCGAAAGGCGAAGGTCGTAAGGCCAGGAGCCCCGTTCGTAGCGAAGGTCCCATGGGAGTCCTATGGGGTGAACACCCGATGTTGGAGGGTCTCATGCGCCCAAACGTAGCTACCAGCATACAGCTTCCGTGAGGAACTTCCGTGTAAGGGAGATCGCTTATTGGTCCTGGTGGGTTCTGGGTATCTCGGTATCGATCAGGAAATCCGGACTGTTGACGGCTTTCGAACAGGTGGTTGAACTTGATGTTTATTCCATTGAGAGCGCAAAAAGACCATTACAACATCTGGTAGACTCTTGCGTTTAGACTGCCTTGCAATGGCATCTATGGCATCCTGCGTTTCTCTTCAAAGGAAGAATGTGCAAGTGTTTTGCAGTGGTCCAGCCGCCATAACCTTGCCGACAACAAACATCAATGTAACACCAATCTTCTGTTGTCTTGTGCCAGTGGCCACGCGAGCATATCGCGAAAAGCTCTCCATTCACCAAAGCATGGGAAAGAAAACATGCGCAAGCTTGGTCACAAACTACAGGCCAAAGCAACAAACAAATATCCCTAAGAATCGGGGCCCTCAAGTGGTCCAAGGGTTTTGAGGGTCCGGACCCCTGCCATGGAGGGTCCAAGGACTCTTAGGGATATGATATTGATAAATATGGTGCAACTTCAAGCTGATGCAGGAAAAAGCTCGCCCCTCCTCGAGCTCTTCACCTTTTCCTTTAATATGTATAGCCTGTAGATGCCTGTAGCCAGGCTTGAAACTGAAGGAACGCCTCGGCATTTGCAGTAACAAACTGATCACGTCTGAGAATCATATTCCCTATACAGCTCCTGTCCCATATCCTCAGGTGACCACCTGGTGTTCGACCCAGTAACCCTAGGAATTCATTGGATCCTTCTCTCACGTGTTCCATGATGTTCCATGGCGCACAAAAAGCCTCTCTTCACCTACCCTCTAATTACCAAGCTAAATGGGAATTAATTTTGCCGAGGATTGGCCCTCCATACTACACAGAGTTCAAACAAATTGGCACAGGATGGCACAGGTCTCAGTGGGCTAAAACATGTTTTATGAGATGTCACATCTAAAGTGGTATAGCTTTGAGGTATTTTAATGTATTTTAAGGTCATCTATTCCGATACTGCTGCATTACTTTAATGCGACTTTCCTGTATATATCCATGCGGTTTGGTCGTGCTGTTCAATCCGTGAGGAAGTCAAAGAGAGGTCATGCCAAAGGCACAGCTTTGTGCTGCAGTGCACACTTTTGTCATGTTTGCCGACTCTTTCGTGCAAACATGGTCAACAGCTACTCACGGGTGCTTTCATGTGCCATCATCCCGTCCTCATCTGGCCCTATTGCAGTTCAAACATGAGGCCCGAGGGAAGCCGCGACCCACCGCGCCGCTTGGCCGCGACCGAACGGCCGGACCGAACGCGACCAAACGCTGCTCTGAAGCCGCGAGACGCCCGGCTCCTGACATGCTGGCCAATTCGCCGCTGCTGCCAGCGACAAGGGAAGGAACCTGCGATAGCGGAGGATGTGAGACGTCGTGGAGTTCCGTGGTTTTTGTTCAGGCCCTCTCTCTTTCGGATTTGTACTCGGAGGTACAAGTCGTACCAAAGAACACACCGTCTGGATTTCCACCGCCCGAAGTGGTGACGGGGCCACACTGGAATGACATACCAGTATATTGAAAGTCTCATGCTACTTGCCTCTCATATCCTCTCATACTGGCCAACCTCTTTGCGTCAAACAAAATCTGCTTTCAGTTAAGTTGTATCTAAGATTATCTATAGTTGGGACTCCTCCTCAAAGCTGTTTTTTGTTGGGGCAGGAAAACCACCATCTCCCGTGTGGGTGATGCCGCGAAGCCTCCTCTTCCGCTCCGGCAGCGAGCTTCGAATAGGCGAACGACGGTGGCCGGTGGCCGGATATCCTGCCTCAGGATGAACTTCATGGCCTGCGCGAACGAGAACGAGAACGAGTTCGGGGTGGAGAGGAACACGAGGAGTTGACGGGTGACCAGAGTGGTGACCTGACCGTTCTTGATCGACACACCTGCTTTCAACAGTTCGGCGTCAAAGAACGAGTTCACATGCTGGAGACACCCGTTCTCGACACGGGTTTACGAGTTCCATGAGTCCCAAAATAGGTCCAAAAGCAATGAAAAGGGGCAACTCTTCCGAAAAAGAAAAGAAGAGGCAACTCTTCATAGCTATAAGTGCTGCAGCTAGATTAAGTCACCCGGGGTCGCTGGTCACCCGAGTCGCTAGTGCGGTGTGGGCACATCCTCCCGCCCAAACTCGATGTTCTGCATAGATGTTCTTGCCTACACACTGGGACGAAACGATCATTTTGGTGTTGAATTCTTGTTGTTTGGATGTTGAATCACCATGGCTACGCTTACTCCAGGTACTTAGTTTTGTGAGGTCATTTGTCCTTCAGGAAACTTAAATAATGAGTCTTAAATTGCTCATACACATGGAAAGTATTGGACAGTTGTGAAAAAGAATAGTGCAAACAAATGAATGTCAAACATAGTTGAACTTGAACAGAGGTTTCGCGAGTGCCGCACGAGTCGCAGCAATCCCACGCCCATCCAGTATTCTGCCTCTTTAGTCTTCGCGGGAAAAAAAAAAAAAACGGTTTTATATAATACCAGCAGCCTCCAGCAGGTCTCCTCTGGTGGCTTTTGTAGACTTAAAAGTGTCAGGTGGTGACCTGTTCGATGGTGCTGGTACATGTTGCAACGGGATAACATCAAGTTCAAGATTAAGTATTATATATATGGCTATGGCGCGATGGGGTCCAAACCGGGGGACCCTTGTTGACCAGTGAACATGAACAAACGACCAAGCTACCAGTGTTTTGGGCTCCAGGTCTTGACTCACAGCCATATCGAAACACAGATCCTACAAGGCTACGCGCCTTCCAGACCACTGACTGGACCCAAGAACTTCACCCCGGTACTGAGTAGTGTAATAGCCAATTCGGAGATCTAGGATGACCCAATGCATGAGCTCCAAGGATTGGGCAGTCCAAGCCACAAACCTTCCACAGCTTGGCACGGGTCGGGCGGGGGACCTGGACAGACGGCAGATGGAACCGAAAAGCATGACAAGACACCACCCAAAAACCCATGCAGCTTCGCGGGATCTGGGAAACTGACACACAACGAATCATCCGATCCACCCAAAAACCAAGCCTAGGATGGGAATTCCCCCTGAGCAGCCACCAACTCCTCGCCCCCTCCGTTCACCACCTGAACCGCCCCCCGAGCGTCCCGGCGCAGCAGGTCGATCCGAAGAGTGCCGGGGGAGGTCCACAGAGTCGCGGGACGCGTTGAGCTGTCAATGACGCTGCGGGACCCACGGGGGCACTGGCGACGTCTGGAGCTTTCGGTTCGCGTTTGGACGCAGAGCTTTCCGTCAGACCAAGAGGCTTCCGTCCGACCTGGCTGCCCTACTGACGTCCAGCATCGCTGGGACAAGATCGATCATGTGGAACAAAGAGCTGTAAATTGTGAAACGTGGGGGTGTCCGTCCAAGGAAGGTAGGTGACCTGTTGGGTAGGCCGGGCATAAGAAGCTGAAGGACATTGGACCATTGGATTTGCTTGAAGTTTGGTTAGGGTGGTGATGGGAAGTGGCAGCCGGTACAGTACCCATGAATCACTGGATCCCAGCACCACCTGTTGGAAGGTCATGGACTTTCACAGCTAAACAATCCTTCCAGTTGCACACGAATTGTCTGAGTCTTCACATGTCGAAAACTACAGTTGACTGTGAAATCTGAAGCGTTCCTTATCATTCCAAGTTTCTAGTGGTCACCCCAAACAGTCCAAGAACAGAGTTTGTCCTGGATGTTGCACAAAGGAAGCTTCATCTGGCTTTTGGGAGGGGCTCCAGGAGTTGTGTCCGATGGCCGATGACTGGCTCGTTCGTGGTCACTGTCACGTATCACGGACCACTGATGGACCCGGGTCGAACGTACCGGGTAGAACGAGGAGAACATCGACTGTAGTGTGTTGGAGCTGAGCATCGACTGGTGGAACACGAGCATGGCCAAAAAGCAGTCGTTCGTCGCCTTCTTGTTCCGTTTCGGTTCGCGATGCCAGGGTCGCCCCGTTCGGTTCCGCGTCCGATCGCTCCGTTCGTCAAGGCCCGGAGTCCCTTTTTTGGTGCTTAGGCTTCTGGCTCCGTTCGTAAGCGGGAACTGTCTGGGTGCGGAAAAGGGACGAAGCCTGGGTCTGTAGCCTCCGTGTCGAGGCTCCTTCTTCCCCTTGTCACTGACGTCGCCCTGTTTTGGGAGTTCCACGCTACACTCGGTGGCTCCAGCAAGCCACATGTCGCCCGACGTCGGGTGGTCTCCGTTGTGACCGGACGAAAAGGAAGTTCCCCGACCCGAGAGCGACTTGCTTGAGGAACTGGGAAATAACATGTGATATTATTACTCACCAGAAGAGGATTCATCCAATTGGAGAACATCAACATCCTCCCCAAACCGCCGCAAAACCAGAAAAATCCCATGACATGGCACCCACAAACCCATGTTGTGGGTGTGTAGACCCAACTAGTCCAACATAGTCCAACGACCCACAAAGACTTCAAGGAAAAACAATGAAAAACTGTGAGGAATGAAACACCGGAACCCTATAAGGGATCCTAAGGGCCCCATGGGTGTTGTTTTCGGTGGACATCCCGAACTTCGAGGGTTATCTGCTTCTTTTCAAGGCAAAACATCTTCCAAGGTGCCTGAGTGCCATTTCACGCCTGCTGCAAGCGCTTAGGTTCCAAAAACCTGGCGGGTTCCCGGAACTTACTGCCACCGAAAATACGGAATCCTGCCACCACCACACATCAATAACTCATCCCTGCAGGCGCCTGCACCTGGAACATCGTATTTTGCATCCATGGCCTCCATACGTGGCAGTGTCCCGGCTGAAGATCCACCAAATGGGTCGAATGGGTCGGCACAGGAGAAAAAAGCGCGGCCTGGTAATACAGCCAGTCTGACTTGCAAAAAGGATGTGTTAACTGTTCAAAGGAACCTTTGCCAAAACCAAATCACAGAAAACAACAAAATCTTGGACATCGAATCGGATCAAGTCCATCAAAACAGTCATTGGATTCCAAAGGCTGCTCAAATGACATGGTACTTTCTCTGCTCGGACGACGTAATTTCAAAGTGAGTGATTCTCACGCGAAGCAGCGCTGCGTTGCGCTGCTGCGCAGCTGCTCACGACGTATCACTTTTGAAGTGAAACCCTATTTCTGGGTGTTTGGATGTGTTGGGTCTGAGTACCTAAAATATCTCTAACATTGCCCATTCTACTTACTTAGACTGTTGGAGATATTCATTTTGTAGATACAACTCCCACAAAGGATCGCGCAAAAGAATGCACCTCTGCTTGGTGCACTTGATTCTGCAAAGAACACACGGAAGATCTGCCAAAGCTGCGAAGGGACTGGCAACATTGCATGTGGAAAAACATAGAATTAAACAAACACATGTTTCACATCTCAAACAGGAGTTTCTCCACCGCGGCGCCAGTTCAGTTAAGCCGTCCAAATTGTTTGTCCACAAATTTCAGGCCTTCTTGAGGCCCTCTTTCAGTGTGGCATCTTCCGGGGCCAGCTTGAGGCCTGCCTGACACGACGCGAACAAGCGTCTCGGTCTCGGTGATCTCTCGCGTCGATTCATGGAAAACTGGTGGGTGTCGTGGGTGTGCAGCTCAAATAGGAAGACCGACACCACAAGTCCCCACTCCCAGGGCTTCGGTTCGGGACCAGTCTACCCAGCCGAGAGTTCGGGCGAAAGAACACCTCAAGCGGTTCGCAGGTCTCTGGCCAGTTGAACCGCGTCCGAGAACGTGGCCGAGGAGTGGATGATGCAATGATGACCTCGAAGCAAGTTGCATCAAACCCTAGGGCTATGTCCTCAGGTTCGGTGGTATTCGACCCCCTGGCACCCACCCCCCTGGCACCCACCCCTATGGGGAATTGATAGGCTGTAGACCTTCCTCGTGACCCGTGACCCGACCCTCACGACCGATGGAACTGCCAGATTGGCCAGACAAGCATCGGATTGGCTGCCGTTCTTGTTGCCCAGTGTTACATGTTCTTCAACAAACCCTAAGGGTCCAGGACCATCCGTTGCTCGGATGTCCTGAAAGGCCCCAGGACCATCGACCATTCTCAGGAAGTACGAACTCACCTCCAAGACCATCCGATTCGGATGGTCCTGGACCCTTAGGGAAACAAGTAAACCTCCCGGGGTTTGGACATGTTCTCTCCCTCACGATCAATTTCCCACCAAATGCCGTACCATGATTCGCACCAACCCCCTCGTGTTGTGTAGCTTTCACCCCCCGCAAAGATCAGCTTTGAGACCGTTCAAAAAGCCACGCAAAACTTCAAAGCACGTCTTTTTGACTTTATTTGAATCATATCTTCGTTGCTGAGAGTGTTTTCAGAAATCACCAAACACTTGTTGCCAAACACGTGTTTGTAAAAACCACAGACAGCGGGCCGCGCCTTGTAGGTTTCTGCTGCATCATCATACTTCTGAAGGAAGAACTCCGCTAAGCCCTCGCAGCTCGGGCTACGGATCTGGAGCTCTGGGTCTCTGGTCACTGAATGGTTCGATCGGGTCGGTAGTGAGGCCATTGCCAAGCCTATTCTGAAGCCTGGCAGTGATGGTTGTAGTATGTGGTGGTTGAGACCATGAATTGCACCATGAATTGCCCTCAACTTGCGGAAGCTTCCGTGGACGCTTCGGACCTAGCAAAAAGATTCTCCGCGGCGACCCGGGCGACCTCGCTTTTCGTAAAGTTGCAATGAAGAAACCCAGACAGGACCTGTCTGGGACTGGCATATGACTATGACTACCGATCAGTAGGGGGGGGCGTTTGATTTCAGGGGGTGAAGGTATGATAATGTAGATAGTGCCCAAACGCGACCCTGGACCCGAACCAACTGCTACATGTTGGTTCGGTCCAAAAACCCTAGTTGTGAGGGTCAAAACCCTAGCGAACTGCGGGTCCTTTCTGAGCCTTTGGGATGTAATAGTCCAGTCTCATGGAGGGTGTGGGAAAATCGGGTAAAGAACGAACATCTGCTTCTTCAAGCCATGGGCATGGACTCTCAATCTTCTGAATGATCTGCAGTGGTCAGTGGCTACATCAGCTTTCAAATGCTTTCAACCACGCAAATCATTCAGTTGGTCAGGTTGAGGTATCCCAAACAACCTTCATTCACAACGGAACTGTCTGGCATGGTCTGGACCAAAAGCTGGGGTCTCTACATGGGCTTTCTTCTCACAGAAACAAACCATCCGCCCAAATACTGTTGAGACAACCAACTAGTCGAATGGCTGCCTGACTCCCTAAGCTTCCAACAGAAACGCATCAACGTCAACGTTCCATCTATTTGAACCTGTCTGGACGCCATCCCCGTTCTCCCCGTGGTTACCATTGGAGTACATTCATCATTAAACAACAATTATACCAGCACCTCCAACAGGTCACCAATTGAGACCTGTTAGGGCCTAACAACCCTCCAAAGGAGACCTGTTGGAAGGTGCTGGTATACAATCAATGTTATCCCATGGTTACCCATGTTGGTTATCCACCTTGCCTGGGTAGGCTGCTGACTTGGGCAACACATCTGTCACATCAAACAGAACAAAAACCGCGTCTACCAGCGACCCTCCGGGCACCTTTCGGGTATAGCCCTTGGGCCAGTCGGGCTTCAGTCGCACGCATTCTCGACCATCCTGGCGGCTTCCGATTCCACAGCGCCCGGTCCACAGCAACAAACGGGGGTCTGCACAACAAAGCCCGTTGAAAACGGGGTTTGGACTCCCTAGGACTCCCTAAAATGATGGAAGTGGAACGATTTCGGATGACAAAGCATGAGCTTTTTCCGAAGACCAAACCGGCGGCATGGTCCAGTTCCATGTGAATCAGTGGGAGTGTATCACACACGATTGATGGAAGGCTTCTAAGCACTTGGAGTGTGCTACTACATGAACCATTCATGCCTTCTTTCTCAATTTTCTCATTTCAGAAGCTCATGTCCACCTGCAAACACTCGATCTGACTCCACATGAATCGGCCTCTAAGGCTTTGTCGTAGTCTTCCAAAGATGCGTAGCACGCCGACCTCACCGTACGCCCGTGCGAACGATCCGGGTCTCGTCAGGTCTCGTCAGGTCTCAGGTCGGCATCTTTCGAGAACGGAACGAACGGATCGAACGGAACGAATGGAACAGCTCAGCTCCAGATCAGCTTGTTCGGAACAGGTTGGAGAATTCCAAGCAGTGGTGAGTAGTGGAGAGGTTGAAAAAAGAGATGTCAATTGACTCCAGATCCACATGAATCTATGTGTGTCTTCCTACTTGTGCCCACGAACTCCATCCGAAGAGTACAGCACGCTGGGTCTTTGGAGGGCTGCCATGGGGTGCCATGACCATGAACGTGTGTTGGTTCGCTGTTCTGGTCTGTTCTCGAAAAAAGCATCCCTTTTATATATTCCCTCCAGTCGCACCTCCTCAGAAGGTATTTGGACCCTCCAAACCCACCCCAAACACCTTCTCAGAAGGTACTTGGAGGTCTAGGGATTGGACCTTCTGCAAACATGTGCTGACTTGGACAATGCCAAATGGACGGAAGCATAGAGATGGCGTCTTAGAGCTGAGAGTGTCATTCTCCCAAAAAGGTGGATTCACGTCTTTTCCTCTCTCCGTTGTCCACGCCTATTCAGGCTCGACTGGCTCCACAGGCTCCTTTTCTTCGACATAGTTTGGGTCTATCCTACCAGTAACAGTGGATTTTTCCGCTTTGGTTCGGTTGCAGGCCGATATCTCTTGTTTACTGAGGCAGGGCACTCACTTGCGCACCGGACATGAAAACTGCACAAGCGAGTGCTCGATCTTTACTGACGGCTCTACGTCCTAGGACAGACCCAGTTCGACATAGTACTACCCTCCGGACAACTGACATCTGACCGCATGGCGGCCTCGAGTCAGTCCCGGATTTTTTTTGGAGGAGTGCACTTGGAGGCTCCGAGGGAGTGCCAATTATTCCCCATAGCTTCTTCACATCCTCAGGATGGTCTGGGACCCCTGGGACCTCAGGCCCTGGGACCTCTACAAGACAAGCACCTGCCACGATGCGCCACATCGGAGATCCGGACGGCACGAGCACAGCATGAGACCCAGGACCGAACGAAGCGGTGAAGGATTCGGAGTCTTGCCATCCAATTGGATGTCATGAACTGAATCTTGGAAGGAACTGATTTCTTGGAAGGATGCTACTCATCTCAAAACATGGTTCAAGCTTCTGTTCAGTCGTTGAAGGCAGTTTAAACCACAAACCAACAGCTACGTTTGCTTGTTTTTGTACTTCTCATATGGCGCCTCCCAGGCCGGCACTCGCCGGCCAAGACACGAGACAGTCCGCTCTAGTCGTTAGATCAACACGTGATCCGCGATCCGCCACGTGTGAGGGCACCTGTTGGAAAAGAACACGTGATCCGTTGGGTCGTGCTTGATGGCCTCCGGAGTCGTGGACTCTGTCACTCGACCGGAGCGCATGCGGCACGGGTCGAGACACGTGCAGTATCCAGGTCTACAGGGTCAGTCGATGTGTATCGATCTGTTGACCAAGCCAGTCTGAACCAGGTCCAGTCTCGTCCTGAAAACCTCATTGAGTATATGTATTTATGTGTGTGTTTGATGGTTTTTGTGTCACCAAAAACTCCAGTATTTCATGAGGTTAGGCCACCAGTAAGGCACTTAATTCGTCCCTTCTTCGTCCGGTGAGAGTCGATGCAGTGGTGCCGGGCAGGATCGTCAACGGTTTGGTTTTGGAGGGTTTTCCTCAAGCTGCACGGTTGGTTTGGTTTGGTTTTGGATGGTTTTGTGGTTTTGTACGATGCCCCCTGGCTGGTTAGACTGATCTATTTCCCTTCTTCCAAGGTGTTTACTATCCACTAGCTTGTCACTAGCCATCCTTTGACAGTCGCGGTTTGCTGTATATATATATATAGCCAGCGGTTTTAAAGGCCTTTTATGTCCCATTCACCCAGCGAGCAAATTTCACTAGCACCCCCGCACTCCTCCATACCCAGCATCCCTTCATGGGTCCTGCTTCTACAGGATGACCTGTTTGTGTCATTCTTCTGACTCCCTCAGTTTCCCTGGAAAACGAGGGTACAGTAAACCCTTGAAACACCTGTTCTTGTTCAGTGGGTGTCCTCACCAAAAAGGTTCTGCAGGTCGGTCATCCACTTCATCCTCCATGTGTTTCTCCATCCCTTTGGGTGCGCATCCGGCTTCCGATCTAGCTGACCTTCCAGAAAGCCTTTCAAACTGCCGACTGCACACGTCTTCTCGGATCCCACCTCTTCCACCCCCCCCGAGCAATCACATCACCGGAACACACTCTCCAGGTCCCAAGCCCGGGGCAAACAGCTAGGCCCCCTATCAACCCATCAGTTCGCCTCCGTAAAGTGCTTGATGGCTTCTTTAAAGTTCTTGGCCTCGCGCGGAACCGCTTCGGGCGACCCGGTCGTCTGCTGATCCGGTCGTCTGGCTCGTCGACGGGTCGTCGACGGGTCGTCGACGGGTCGGCAGGGGCAGATGTTGACCTCGGAATGATCGACCTGGAGGCGATTGGCATGAAGCCTCAGACAGAAAGATGCAGACAGAAAGAGTATCCAAAAAGAAGATATCAATCACTCTTATAAACATTAAACACACAAATACATGCCCATAACATGCCTATATTGTTTTCATGTCTTTTTGGCGTGAGAATCTGTGTACACATCCACAGGCCTCCTCCAAGTCATGAATGAGGGTGGATCCAAAGGCTCCCAATTCGGGCAAGCACCAAGAACCAGGGGCAAGACCTGCAGACTGTCTGTTTTCTTGATTGGTTCCTGCGCCTGTGCGCAAAGTTCCTCGTGAAACATATCAAATAGAGCAAGACCTGCAGGCTCTGGATCTGCTTCTTTGCGCGACCAACGCCTCATCAGCCGCTCTGATGCTTCACCGCCACCTCTGATGCTTCAGCTTCACCCTTACACCTCTAGCTTCATATATGAAACCACACTCCTTCAAACCATTTCGATCCCAAATCCCCCAACTGGTCAACGAAAAAAAAACGAACAACCCTCCAAAATCACTCCAACTTCTTCTACCCCCCTCACCACTTAACGGTCAGAAATCAGGCGCGCCCCGTTCTTTTGGTCGGCTCCTATCGCTCGCTCGCCCCGGCGCATGTCGCTGGCTCGCTCGGCCTGAAACTCGGTGTTGCCTTTGGCTTTGGCTTCCTTAGACCGCGCTGAGACGGTCCCGCAGAACAACCTGGCGGCCCCAAAGATCCAGAAAAACTACCAACCTGGAACTTCAGTGACCATCCTTGAGATCCTAGAATAAGGTCACTTAGTCCCTAAAGAGGTCACTTGGAGACTCCAATCAGGTCATTTTGAAGGTTTTGGTACATAATATATGTTAAAATACTTGTAATATCTATTGATGTCGAATGCCTACAGGTCAAAGACCGCATTTTACTGGGTCTTGGGACATGTATACTTATACCATCTTATACCTGTCCCTCCTATCGCTCCTATAATGGGAAAGAAAAGGCGGAAGCTCCAGTCATCAAAGACCAACACGAAAAGGATCGAGCCCTTATAAGCTTTATAGGGGTCACCACCTACATCTTGTTGCTCATCCTTTCTGGTTTTGCTCAAAACCATCAAGTTTTGCCCATGCTCTGGCGCTCCTGTTTTCATCTGGTTTCTGGTTTTGCCAAGTATTCTGCTTTAGCAAAGTGTGAGAAGGGCATAGGCTCCGATTTACTCTGAGTTTTGTATGGGAACTGTTGCTGGCATGTGAGAGTGTCAATCAAATGCTGGGATTTTGATGGAAAAACAAAAACACTGGTGCGAGCGCCAAAGCATTGTATGGCAAAAAATCTCCCACGTCCCCAGTGGCCCCAGTGACACAGGTCTACACCTGCAAGGTCTACGTGCCATGCGAGGAATCCAGTGCATGGCAATGCCAATCTTAAGCATCCTACGCTTGCCAACACCGGAAATGCTGGCGTGGTAGCTGGCATGGTAGGGAGATGGGCTGGCATGCGATTTTGTTTGGCTCGGTGGCCATACCATTTCGAACCGCAAAATCCACTTCAGTTTCCGGGGTGATCCTCAAAACATGTTGTGTGACATGTTGCCCAGCAGTGGAAATTCAGGCAGCTCGCAACATGGTGCTGCTGCGCGCATTTTCGTGGTCGAATTGAGGCGGTTTTCGCTTATCGCCAGAAACCCTGCATGCTGCTTGACAATCGCTATAGGGTTCCAAGTACCTCGATCCTCAGAAGATATTTGGAGCCTCTAAACCCACCCAAACACTAATACCATCCAATACCTCAGTTCTAGAAACCACCAGAACTGAGGTCGTAGCTTTCCAAGATCACTGAGGTCGCAGCTTGCCAAGATCACTTCGATCTATCCGAAGGTGCATCCGAAGTGCAACGAGGTCATCGATCTGGTTCTGCTCCGACAGAAGCGATCACTGGTTCTAGATTCTACCCTAAGAATCCTTGGGCTCTCCATGGCAGGGGTCAGACCCTCCATAGCAGGGGTCTGGGCCCTCAAAACCCTATCTGTTTGAGGGCCCGGATTCTTAGGGTAGGTAGATATGGCTGCCTAGCCCATACATGTTAGATCCATATCAATATCATTATTGCAAAAAACATGATGTCACACCGTCACACCGTGTTAAAACCGTATACATGCGCCAAGGTTCAGCGGCTTTTGCCTTGTCCACCATGGGCTTTTAGGCGGCGCGCTCTTTCCCGCGCCTGGAACGCAGGAAGTTCCCGACGGCTGGAAGCAGTTGAAACAAAAACGAAGCAGTTGAAACATGAACAAGACTTTGGGTCTATCCCATTACCAGCAACGGATGATGATGGTTAGGTTGCAGGGCTTGTTCAACATTAGTGAACAATATTGTTTACTGACTGTTCCTGGCAAGAACGGACAAACCGTAGAAAGACTGATTGGTGATGGGATTTTCCACCAAGATCCCATGAATCAAATCAACGGGTCCTTCATGAAACCCTTTCAAGAGTTTAACGTCGCATGCGTCCTTTGTACCCCGGGTCATGGGTCCTGGTATACCAAGCTGAGCGCTTTCATGCGTCTATATGTGCTCTGGGGGTCAAAGAAGCCATGCCAAAGCATCTTGTGGTTTGGGTTCCTGATACTTATCTCAAGCCTGATACCTACCTTCAGGACCCATCAGGACCGGTATGTTTTCCAACAAAACTGTCATGCAAGCTTGAAGTATACCTATAGAACCTGAAGGGCATTTGTTTTGGACTAAGTACCAAAATCGACCAACCATCCTCCAAATATGAAGTTTTCCGATTAAACAAAGGTCATGTTTGGGTTCAAGTACAGATTTTGATACAACCCCAAAAAGCAAGACTAGCCAATAGGCTATTACTCACCTGTTCGGTCTATCACAGGGCTAGTAAGAGTAGTTTGTCACACGAGTTCACACCTGTTCAATTCGCATTCGCATGACATGTTTGTCACAGAATCAGTCTTGAAAATCTGTATGAACCTCAAACACACACAGAAATATACCAACAGGTCCAGGAATACAAATATGTTTGTAGTTAATTACCTTTTGGGAAAAGATCTCGTCTATACAATTTCGATGAAACAAGTTAAGTAGGACCAGCAAAAAGTGCTTGACATACAAAGCACTCCACACACAGATTATGTTGGAGGCCATCGCTTCTAGGTTGGAGGCCATCGCTAGTAGTTAGTAAAGAAGGTCTCCTTTTGCTCGATAAAGTCACTTATTTGATCGATGAAGTCACTTATTTGACCTGAATCCATAGGAATCTCCCAACTCTTTGAATAAAATCGGGCATGGGAAATCAGCCAAACAAACATCCTGACCTCTTGTCACCCCAAAATCGCATCACAAGAAGCATGTGTTCTTTTTGCAAGAATCCGCACTTCTGAGAAGGTGGGGAAGGTGGGGACCCACTCTCCGAATATCCCCTGTCCCAACTTCTCAGAGTATGTGGATCCCGTGGATCCTGAGGTGTTTCTGTTTAACACATGAAAACAACATGCTGCAGACCAGACGCCCGGCCTCTGCAAAAAGGAAATGAATTTCGGACGGCCTCCCGTCCTGTCCTTAGAAATCTTGAGCCAAGAACAGAGCGGCGTCAGTGCTTCCAGGAAACCCGGAACTATAGTGATCCCTGAGAATGGCACCCTGAAAGACTGCTTTCCTTTACAAAACCAGTGGTTTTCAGGGTCCATGTCAGTTTTCAGCGGGGTATTGAACCGCACCAAATCCGATCTCCAAGAACCGCTCCAGTGGTTTCAGTGTGTTCACAGCGACTGGGCGACGTGATGCGACGTGCCTCGGCCCGGCAAGTCAGGAGACTCCCAGGCAGTTCGCCATCGCCTCATTGGTCCGCTTTTGTTCTTGTTTTAGTTCATGAAACATGTATATCCGCTTGGAGGCTAGACTCCGCTAGACTCTAGACCAGTATGTAGGGTCACCATCTAACCTCAAAAGAATCAGGGAGCCAACAGGTTGGGTCAATAAGGACCTCCATGAGATGGGCCAGGCCCCGGCCCCGACGCACCGTTCAGGTCCGGGAACATGACCCACGTCACCGCCGAAGCAGGCTCAAACTCATGTTCCGAGGGACGAAGGGGTCGACTCCGGGTACAATCCCCAGACACACACACTCCATGGGCCCTGGGAGGCCAGGGGTGGTGCCAGGGAGGTCAAAGTAGGCATATATGGCAGTCCCATTAGTCGTGTCTGAGATCCAGTTTGATGGAGTGTTTCTGGCCATGCTCTTCTTTTGCTCGCGAATCGCTCGGCTCGCTGCTCCGGTCACTGCTCGTGTCCCCACCAGTGCCACGAAGATGGAGATCGAAACAGCGGGTTTGATGATACATGTTGGAACGGAAGCAAAATGAAACGGCAAAAGTGAGAGAGGAGCATTTCGGGCTCATTACTTTAAACATCAAGAACATAATTCCTCCAATGGGGTATGTTTGTGGTTGAAACCATCTTTGCTCGAGGGCACGTCGTGTATTGCAGTTTCTCTCGTGTACTACAGTTTCTATCTAAAAACACAGAACTGTTTTCTCGATTCCCCTGAAAGCTACGTATGAAAGTCTGGTCATAGACATTGTACGGTGCGAACTTGACCAAAAGGTTGGTGGCACGGAAGACCGACGCAAATTATTGCCTTTCCTTTTCTTTCTTTCACACGTCCGACATGGTGACGCTTTTGGATGCATGGCATGACCATTCTGAGAGAAAGGCGCAGCGTGCATGAATTGGTCAGCGCATGAAGCGAATTAACATCTGCACCTACAATCGCAACAGTGAGAGTGATACTCAGCTGCCATAGAATAAATTACCCTTACATAGTCCAACCTATTTGCAGACACGTGCATTCCTCTATTACAACCCTGAAGTGCTTGTAGCTCTAGTTTCACGCAGTTGGAAGTTGTTATCCATCTGTCACACTTACGAGAGGTCTTCAATTCCCAAACAACAAACAGTTTTTCCACAAAACAGGTTGCTTCTTCTCATTAATCTCTCATTATTTACTCCTCCGCTGCAAAGTCTGCAACTTCAACCTGCAAAACGCCGGACCAACGTGCTCGAGAAAACGACCGTGTGGCGGTTCCGGTGCACTGTGGTGGGAGACTGTATGTGGCAGCACCCAAACGGAAGGTGTACAAACCAAGCAATTGCATGCAATAACGTCATGTACATGTCGGCTCAAACACATCGACCTCGACATAAAAACAGGACACAAACCATTGGCTAAGTGGAAACGCGGCTAACGGTTACTTACCTAGACTGTAAGTACATATCGACACAAACAATGCTTCAGCAAAGCAAAACTACTCAACAATCACATCTACGGAGAAACATCTTCAAAGGAACACATCCTGACAAAAATCGTAACAAGCAACCTGCACATGGGCATAGGAGTGTGCAAAAAGAATATCTCCTTTTCTTGGGTCCATTGCTACTTTGGCTGTTGACACCCATGCCCATGTCCCAAAAAATACGGTTCGATGAGTTTTTCTCAGTCTGACTCCTCGGGTCTCTGTGTTTGCCACGAGACTAGCTCCTTCCGCAAGAGAACCCCGTCTAACTGGCAAACCAAACTAATCACTCCACTGCCAGAGTTCGATCCAACCTCAAAACCGCACTTGTTGCTAGTAGCGATGCACTTGTTACTCTTGAGCGCCAACGCTTCCAGCTGCTCAAAACGCGTGATCCGTGCCTCTCTCGCCGCGCCGGGCGTCGCCCGCGCGGCGCAGTGGTGAGGGGGAGCCCAGCACCAGCGCGTGGGTGCGGCAAGGAGAGGCCTGCAAAGTGGAAGAGAAGAGCTGGAGAGGAGTCGATGGTGGTCCTATAGTCTTCTCTCAGAAATGCTGCAAGCTGCAAAGCCCCTAGTCTTGGCTCTAGTTACACCTAAGATGCTCCCAGTCGTCTCAGAAGTCTAGGAAATTGTTAGAAGATCTTAGAAGAGCTTTTTAAAACTTCTAGTTTGGAAGCGCCACCCGCCATGTCTGGATTCTTGGTCCCTCCAACAGTGGATATCACCTGTCTGCAGAGGAACTATCCAAACATCGAATCACCAAGTAGTTAAACACCAAGGCTTTGCGAGTTACACCCTAGAAGTCCAAAGACTTATATGTTTCTCAGTTTGGCAAAGAAACAAAGCTTTCAAGCTCCCTAAAGACCATTCATTTTATAGTCCTTGAATCACAAGGGAATAACATATGTTCTAAAAGCATCGGGGAGGACCGGTACGAAAGATGCAAAACATGTGGCACCGGCACTGGTGATTCCCGGATTCTGGCACTTCAATCATGCACATCCCAGGCATCCCAACAAAGATCTCTACCAATGATCTTTGGACAACCAAGCAAATGATGTTATGTGAGACCAAGTGGATGAGAAAGTTTGAACATTCAGCACTTAAGAGATGAGTAAAACCGTTCCCGCTAAAGCAGCAAAGAGAAGCGTGTCTGGAACATTCCACAGGTGACCGAAATTCGACTGTCCTTTTTGGGAGTATTAGGAGGGAACAATTTTGTTACCTTCAGTTGTACACGGCCGGGGGTCTCCCCTCTATTGCCCATAGGTCAGGCCATCTATGACTTGGACTTCTCCATTCCCCTACCTTCTCAGCAGGCACGACTGGACCCTCACTAGCGACTACATCAAAGTGTCACCAATATCACCCTTTTGCTCCAGTCGTGCTCCTTCAGAAGGTACCACTGGACCCTCCCGGCGTCCGAACCGAAACGAAGCTACCACTGGAGTCCGGGAGTCCAAGCCGGGCTTGGCTTGTAAGACCGGGGGTCTGGGCACTTGACTTGGCCACCAGGATCCACGGGATCCACCCGTGACCCTTCCGCCTGGTTCGGTCTCCGAACGCGGTGCCGGTGGTTTCGGTCCGTCGATCCGGGAGAGACGAGGCGCGGCCAAGTAACGGCCCGTGCCATAGCGTAGCAATTCAGGGTTAAACAACAAACTATGGCCATGTCACTATTTTACACCACAATGTTGGGTGCCGAAAAAAAAAAGACACATCACATCTCAATTTGTGGCTGATATGCTATGAATTCCGATATGTTTAACCATGGTTTAACCCTAATTGGGGTCCACCTTCTCCCCATGCTTACTGAACTCCGCAGGATCGATTCCGCTGCTCTCCGCCTGGCGAAGCTCGACGGCCTAGCAGAGCGAAGCGACTTCGCCGAGCATCCGTCGACCCGGACCGGACTGGCATATTGACATACCAGGGGCCCGAAGCAAACCATGAAGAATAAAGGTGTTCACATAACCTACCCCAACAAAAAACATGTGTTTTGCTAGGGAAAACGAGGATTTTGATGGTTTGTGGGGCCCCTGGTTCAGGGTGGTTGAATTTTGGGGGGTCAGTTGTTTGAGGTTTTCCTATATTCCAGTCCCATGGGTTGTGTCTGGGAATGTCTGGGAGTCGAGCCTTCAAAGAAAAACATGACCCTCTTTTTTGGGGCTCCAGTCGCATGGGCTCGTTTCAATGCGGTGGGATGTTGGGGTGGGTGCTTTTGGGTTAAACGCAAATACACTAGACTATCTGTGGGGGCCCTATCTTGTTGAGACTACTTCAGTAGGAGGTCATGTCCGAGTATATTGTTCAGACTACTTTAGTAGCAGATCACACTATTCCGGTCAGATTACTTTAGTGTCATCAAGCACAAGTATCTCGTTTATGTGGGTGGGGGGCCTATCTCGCTCACAAGCGAATACTGATGATAGACTAGCAAATAGAGCATACCGTAGACTACATTCAGCAAAGTAGCCTAAGTAAAAGTGGTTGCTCACATGTTCTTCAGCACCAGACTTCACAGGGTCACCCCTGTCAGGGCCTGTCAGGGCCTAAATGAGCCTAACAAGCCCCTAGAGGAGACTTGTTGGAGGGTGCTGGTATACCCATACACGAATCCCGTTTCAACTACCCCAATGTTCGCCAGTTCCTTGGAGTCTTTGGGAAAGAAAGGTTGACCTAGTCTGATCTTGTATAGTCTAAAAGCCGTAAGTAAAACAAGGGTGGTTCGGAAAGCCCAATGAAACTCGAATCCTAGGGTCTAAAGACGGCAAAGAAGGGCTCCCGACGCCATCCCGACCTCCCTTTCGATTGGGTGGATGGGACTGGGGTAGGTGCCAGGGGGAGAGTCGATGCACATGAACAAACCTTCACTCAAAGTTAAAACAGAAGGCGAAACATGGCGAAACCATGTTTAACTCCTGAAATCATCATGGCCCCGTGGATGGCATGGCCCCGTGGTCTTATCCTTGGCGCTATCAGCACTTGGCGCTATGTGGTCTTATCTTTATCATCACCTCCGGCGCCGTGCGGTTGGTGCCCTGTTCCGGTCCCCCACCTTCCCAAAGGTACGAGTGCCGCTGCGCAGCTCCCGCACTTGCGATCTGAAGAAGTGCCGAGGAGCGTTCCGACGCAGAGTAGGTGGAGGCCATCGCAAGTAGGTTGGAGGCTATCGCTACGAACGTAACAAGAAGCTACGAACGCAACAAAGGGCATCGCTACTGGGAGCAAGAAGCCACCAGTAGCTCCTGGCCTTACTACTAGTAAGAAGAAGCTACTAGTAGCGATACGAGTGCCGAGGAGGTGCGGAAAGGATACTGGGACCGAAAACCGTTCGAGGTGGAAGACCGGAATGTGGAAGTGTCTCTGTGCGAGGCCGCCCGGCCCACAGCTGCTGGGGTGATGACTGAAACAACATACAATACCCAGACACTCCATGTATGGCATACTTACCGATCAGTTGGGGTGGTTTGGGGGGTCAATGTAGTTGGCATATATGGCAGTCCCATGGAGTGTCTGGGTATGTTTTGCATGAGACACCGAGACATCTCCAACCCCCGTAAAAGAACGGGACCCTGACAAAGACTCCAAACAGACCAGCAGTGCTTTTGGTAAAAAAAAACAAAACAACATGTCTTGGGAAGGGTGCGGCTTCCCAGTTCGGACTCTCTCAATCCCCAAAAACCTCGAGAGAGGTAGCTGAATATAAGTCAGACCTCCTGCCCTTTGTATCCACATACCCTCTGAGGTGGTGATTGGAGACCAGGTGAATGAAGAGGGTGGACAGCTGGGACTGGGCTGAACAAAAGAGTTCGGACGACGAACTGACTGAAGAGCTCGGACGGTGGCAACATGTGGACAACCAGCAAGGGAAGCTTTGGGGGCAACCGATTTGGAATGGGAAACAATCGCCATCCATCTATCTCCCTCCATCCATCCATCCATCCATCCATCCATCCTTGTTTCTCTCTCCCTCCATCCATCTCCATTCCGATTTTTTCATCTTTCTTCCCCAGTCCTCGACTCAGTCGTCCCACCCCTGGCGTCCGGCTCCCGACGGTGAACACCGTCACCGGGGGGGGCCACCTCAGCTGCTCTTCCAACTCTTCTGCAGCATCAAAGTCCTGGATCGGGTGGGTCATGCGCATAGACACCCCTGGAAATCCCCGGAACTGCTTGCCGGGGTGTAACTGGATTATGATTCGCAGAGTTAGAGGCTCATCCACCAGTTCAGGTGATGCAGTAAACTTGCAAATGACAACTTAAAGCAACAGTTCCCACATTCCAGCGAGGAATTTGTGGACCGTCAAAACCCACCCCAGTCCCACCTTTTCAGAAAATACTTAAAGCCCTAGCATAAGCCCATTGGTCACCATCATCTGTCCTCAAGCCCATTGGTGAAGAGAGCTAAAACTTAGATTTGCTTAGGGAACTGGGACAACAAGAGCCACAAAAAACGCAGGGGGCGGAACCGGGGAGCAAACCAGCTATGACTGTCCACGAACTCATCGAAGGGTCGGTGGGTTTCGTCCAAGATCTCCTGAGGGTTGAGTCATCAAACCTCCTATCCCACACCATTCATGGGACTGGAATAAATCCCTAGGGATCCACATACCTTCTCAAAAGGTACTTGGACCCTCCAAGTATACATAAGTTGTAAAGCCTCTCCATGTGGGGGTTCTATTCATCAACCCTCTCTCCCTCTCTCTTTGTACCTGGATCCGACTTCTTTCATACCCCCCGACTGCTCCATCAGCGTTGACCGTCCGACTTGAACACCTTTTTGGGGGCGTCACCGCTGCACTGGGTGCCACCGTTGGTGACCGCACGCTTTGGGTCATGACGGTCTCGTCGGTGTGCGCGAAGGACGAGATCTGGGCGACCAGGCTTCACATCTTCACTGGAGCCATGAGCCCCCCATGAGCTACTGAGAAGCACGAATCAGGTTCCTAGAGCTTTTAGTAGGTCATAAAGCTACTCGCTAACCATCTCCAAACCACCCAACTCCATGAAAACTCCGAGATCTTGTACACCCAAACCGGCCGGATGTGCATGTATAATCATTATAGATAGATAGATAGATAGATAGATAGATAGATAGATAGATAGATAGATAGATAGATAGATAGATAGATAGATATAGATAACCTGGCAGTCCCATGGAGTGTCTGGACTCATGAAAATCCCATTGCGACCTACCTACCGGTGCTTCTCTGCTCTGGCAGTGATTCCTTCGCAGGTTCCATCCCGTCTCTAGGCCCGTCCACCGTCGACTGGACCTCGCCCAACTCGGTGGCTCCAAGTTGGGAACTTTGCCCAACTTGGCGAATGAAACGTCACTGGACCAACTCGGCTTGGCCTGAAACAGCCTAAAAACCACTGTTGTTCTAGCGGCTGAACCTGCTGAACCCATGGAAGGGCTTCAAAACCTAGGTCTCACCGATCTGGGGCTGATCATGGGAGGGCTGATGAACACTGCGTGGTGCCAATCACCAATCTACAAGAAACTACTCCACCCTACTAACACCTCCTCAATACTATCACCAACTGCAGAAATACTAACCTATTGGAAGCCAGAGTCAAAGGCAGCAAGGCCAAGTTACAGTTTTGTCTTGCACGTTTCTTCCAATTGTGTTGCGCCACTTCAACAACAGTTTGCAGTGCATACTGCCTCACAACCACTACAATCTGCCCCAAACTACCAAGACCTGCCAAAAAGGCACCTTTTCAAACGCATTGTTCATCATTGTTCACTCCACTTGAGCCCTGCCACAGCAACAAGATTGCCAGACAGGTACCTATACAAGCATGTATGGTATGGGTTCAATGAGAAGGACTGGGTAGGAAAATTGTAGATAGTCGGTTGTTATAGCAGCTACCATATTTTGCTTTGATGAGTTGCCCTAGTGATGACACGCCTTCTTCTTATAGGCATTTCGGCTTAATTTCCCCCCTGATTTCCCCCAGGTCCCCAAAAAGTGATCCATCTCGTGTTCCTCCAAGTCTGAAAAATACTCGACAGTGGATCAGTGGATCTAAGATCCTCTCAGTCTAGGCTCGGCCAGTTTAGATCCCAGTGATCCCGCTAAATGTGTTCCTCGCGTGGAACCGCGAACCCCCCATGTTGCGCGATGACATCGCCGACGACAGCGGGCCGTGAAGGTGCAAAAGCATCAGTCTCGCCAGACTGAGCCGTTGGACAAAGAATTTGTGTCAATACCCAATTCTGTTTTGGTACATTTTATTGAACTGGCTGATGGGAAGGCGAACTGGGTGGGGGGGGCAACCTGTCCAAGTTCTTTTCCTGTCAATTTTTTTTGGTGCACATTTCTATTTTCAACTGATGTTTACAGATTTCTCCAGCTTCTCTTGGGTCCGAACCCCGGAAACACAGGGCAACATTGGGAAGATTCTAAGATTTAGACTGTGTGGGTGTATGTACGTGTGGCTGATATGGAACCCAAACAAAAATGGTATCCGTTCATGTTTGAGGTGGAAGTCTTAGACTATATATACAAAATTATGCGAATATACATGGATATACCATGACTGGAAGGATAACGCAACATAACAACACCGGGACCAGACCATCAGAATTTCACTATCCACAAACCACGGGGCCGAGTTCCACTTTTTCACTCAGTCCTATGATGGTTTTGTTCCAAACAATTTAAACAAATATGGGTGTGTATTTTAAACAAAACCTCCTGAAGACCACCTGGAAGAAGGACAATAGACCATTCTACCCATTGGTTGGCTGTCCCCCTATTGAAATACAAACCCATATGTTGAACATGTTTGGCGTTTTGACTGCGACTGTGGCAGGTGGATTCGACTTCGAGGCTTCCAAGGACGAGTTTTCTAGCTGAATTCGATCTCTACGGAGACCTTGGAAAGAGAGTATTACTAGCAGTTGTCTTTTGTTAGGGTACTTGAACACTCTGCTATTTATCAGGTGGTTTTTGTGAAGGCCATGTGCCATGTTCTACTTTTGAAAGAGTTCAAAGGATCATTTTTGGAACCACACCACCCGGCCACTCTGGTCAGCGATGCGGCAGCTTCGGCCGGACGTCGTCCTTGCAGAGCACCTCAGACCATGACTCTCCATTGGAGGTGTTTTGTCCCTGACAGGTGGCGTTTTTGTACCATCCCATATGAACATACGAGTCGTAGGGTGTGTACAAAGGGTCTGCATATGTCTGCATGAAAATCACATGCACTATACGAGATGCATACTGAACTGATGGCTCCAAGCCGGTGCAGGAGCCTATATGAAAAAACGTGCCTGGGTAGGTAAAGCAGGTAGTAGGTAATGCGGTCTATCGGTTCGAGCGACGAGTGCATGACTGCCCGTGACTGCCGAGTGCATTAGCCCTTTACGGAAGGGTAGAGTCGCAGCTTGAGCAACAGTTCAAAAGAAGCAGGTGCGTGGAGTTGATCCGACTCCATATCAGTCGCGGCACCTCTTCGTTGGGCAACCAGCTATGCTCACGAGGTTGCCCCCTGCAAAAATAGTCAACTGATTCTGTGTGATTCCAAGGGTTTCACACACACGCACCCCACGTGCGGGGGAGCAAAAACTAAGGGACGAACAAGTGTGCATGTGCGCGCAAAGAAGACAAAAGGATGAAGACATGAGAAGGAGACAAGACAAGACCAGTGTGTCTGGTTGTGATGAAGGGGAAACCAAGTGCGCAGGGACAACCAGTGAACCAGACCTCATTGTCAAAACCTGGGCCACCTGAAACCTGGGTTGAAGGTAAGTTGCGCGCGTACAGGCTAAGGGCCGGGCCGTTGTGCGCGCAAAAGAAGGAACGGAGTGAGATGACGGAACATGAAGGCAGAAGGACATGAAAAGAAAAAGGAAAGAATATGTGTTTAAAGGGCAAGGGCAGGAAGGGGACTCCAAATAAAGTGGCCGGAAACCAACGAAGCCAGACCTCATTAATTAGAGAAAAATAGGCAGACCTGGCCTCGTTAAATGTACACGTGTGTGTGTACCTAAGGCCTAAGGTTGAGACAGGCCCCAGTGGACCTTGAAAGAGCTTCGGCCGCTGTGGCCACGTTATGGCATGCCCAAGGGCTGCCTACTCGAGACCGCTGTGGTCACTTAATGGCTTGCCCGAAAGCTGCCTACGCAAGTCTTGGCAAATCACTTTGGCGTAAAAGCCTGCTACGATCGCTGCGAGCTGCTTTGTTTCCGGGCAGGGGAAAGGTTAGACAAACCCCCGTTCCACGGGGCCGCGGAGAGACACACTTAGGAAGTGCGTACTGAACTGATCGCTCCAAGCCCCTGGAGGAGCCTATGTGAAAAAATGTGCCTGGGTAAAACAGGTAGTAGGTAATGCGGTCTGACCATCTCAAAGTCCCAAAGCTCTGACGATACGATCGGTTCAAACGGCGAGTGCATGACTGCCGAGTGCATTAGCCCTTTACGGAAGGGTAGAGTCGCAGCTTGAGCAACAGTTCAAAAGAAGCAGGTACGTGGAGTTGATCCGACTCCATATCAGTCGCGGCATAGCCCTCTTCGTTGCACAACCAGCTATGCTAGGAGGTTGCCCCACTGCAAAAAGATCAACTGATTCCCTGTGATTCCAAGGGTTTCACACACACTATGTTCCAGATCCCCTAAAGGTATGTCCATCCGTCTGTATGGAAGTAGGGGGCACACCCGCCTCAAGTACCGAGCCGCAAGCTCCAGGTAGTTGGACCATTGGAGGCATGGGGATCAATCAACATCCCTACTTACTACTACTACTACTACTACTGCTACTACTACTACGACTACTACCACCACCACCACCACAACCACCACCACCACTACCACTACCACTACCACTGCTACTGCTACTACTGCTACTACTACTACTACCACCACCACCAGCACCACCACCATTACCACCACCACTACGGCTACTACTGCTACTGCTACTGCTACTGCTACTCCTACTCCTACTCCTACTACTACTACTACTCCTACTCCTACTCCTACTCCTACCACTACTACCACTACTACCACTACTACCACTACTACCACTACTACCACAACTACCACAACTACCACAACTACTCCAACTACTCCAACTACTCCCACTACACCACTACTACTACCACTACTACCACC